CCCCAAAACCCCAAAACCCCAAAACCCCTTGCAGCAATCAAATCTGAAAATTATATTAGTTTTATTAAAATATTAATATAGAAACGATAATAAATGATTGCTTAATAATTTTTGAAGAACAAATTCGTGAATGAGCCACCTCCTTTTATAAAGACTACTTTTAACACCTAGCAATTAAATATCAAAGTAATAAAATAGAGACAAGTTGGGACAGTAAAAAATATAAGATTTCAAAACTCTTCAATTATGTCTTCTATTCCATCATTGGAAGAAACAATGGCTACAAAAGAATTTGCTTTGCAAGGAGTTAGTTCAAATGACTCACCGTATTTCAATGAAAGACCTAAAACATCTGATGGAAACTCAAAGCATAGGTCTGTTTATTTCAATCGTAGATTGAAATTCTAGACTGTTACTAATTCTCCATCAAATGAGATTAATGATGCCTAAAATCATAGGTACTAATCCATATCCTTTACTGGCTACAACAATCAAAGTGAGTCCATCAAGGAAAGAAATCTATAAATCTAGGGTGGTTTTTCGCACTTGAGCAAGATAAATTCAGAAAGTTTGAGTAACTTCAATTTTACCTCTAAAAAGAAATTTTATAATATGAGCCCATCACCTAACACATAAAAATACAAAAGAAACTCTGAAAATAGATCCATTGAAATGGAAAAATAACTAAAAATGAATTAGTAATATCTAGACAAATGGAGAACAGTCAATAACTATTATACAACTTTAATCTTCAAGAAAAATTAAGAAAGGGAAGAGAAAAGGATTTAAAAATTGATAAGTGATTAAGAGAGAAAATTAAAGGAAGAAAAAGAGAGGAAAATATTCGAGGAGGAAAAGAAAAAATTAGATCTTATAGAATTAGAAGCGAAAAAGAAAATAGCAATTCAGTTAATTAAAAACAAAATCCTAGAATACTGGTAGTTCAAATAAAAATTTAAAGAGGAAATGTTTTTAAAAAGATTTTCGTTTGAAAAATTTTAGAGCAAAATTTAATCTGCTAACGAAGAGTTGAAGGAGATCTACCATCGCAAAATTTATCTTGAAAATCTTGATAAAATTGTTAAGATTCAATCTCGATTTAGAATGCATAGGATATTCAAGGTATTTTCCTCAGTTATAAAGAGAATCATGAGGACTAAGAAATTAATGAGTATTTTAGGCTTGATAGAAGATTCAATAAAATATAGATTAGGATTTGAGAACTTAAAGTAGTACTTGCCATTAAATATTAAAAAATTGCCTGCGAAACCTAGATACTTAGATTTTATGAAGTAAAGAACTGCCTCTCCAATGAGATAAAGAAGATAAACGATTTAAAATAATGTATTACTTAGACCTCCAGTTGTAAAAAAGAGAAAATCGAATATTTCTCTTATGTAGTCTAGTAAGGATAGTCAAAATACTTCCTTTGATTCTACAAGTAGTTTGAACTCTAGCAGAAGTTCGAGGAAAAAAAATAGTAGGATAAACTCTAGGACAAGAAAGAACACATTTGACTCTGTTGAAAGTTAATAAAAATATTATTAGTCAAGGAGAACCTTGACAACGAAGAAACTTGAGAGATCTCCAACAAGGAAATTAAATGATTAATAGATAAAAAAATAAACAACAGTCCACAGAGAAACATCACTTTCAACCATATTAGATGAGTATGAGGATTAGACTTTTTCTAATATAGGTTTGGTAGCTAGACCAAGAATAAGAGAAAATAGTACATTAATGAAAAACACTGAGACTTTTGAAAGATATATTAAGAAAGATAATGAATTAGATGATTTTAATTATGGCCTCTAGCCTAAGTACAAATAAATATATAGAAACAAACTTAAGAAGCATCATCATTTGCTAAAGTAAGATTAAAAGAGCTAATTCACTCAAATTGATGATGATCGAAGGAGAGAATTATTTAATAGATTTTTTACTGATTTTTATGAGCAAAAGCCTCCGAATGAGGTAGCAAAAATATAAATGTCAAGAGTTCAAATTAAAAATCCACAAAATACTCAATAAAGGTCATAGAGTAGTAATTAATAAATTGTAACTCATACAAATAGTAAAAAAGCAATCCTACCTCATGAGATATCCAGGATGTAGAGATTAGCTTATTAGTATCATTAGTAATATGATACTCTTAAAGTCAAAATACTAGATCAAGGTATCAAAATGAATGTGCTAGATAACACTCTAATCAAACAATACATTTAAAATAGAAAAGACGCTGTCAATCATGTATTTAATTTGAAAGCATCAATGAAAGACTGTGATGATATACTCTTAAAGAGGTTAAACACTTCTTAATAAACTAAAAAAAAGATCTTCTCATTTAAAATGGAATATCCATAATCATTTTAAGTAACATCGAACAGTAATAGCCCTTAGAGAAAGGCATCAGAGGCCTTAGAAAAGTATGATATAGAGAATGAAGATGGAATCGAGGAAGAAAATTATTGATTTCCATATTATATTAAACTTAAGGTAATTTAAACTTAAATCATTAATTATTGCAAATAAAAGAAGGGATAAATTGATTTAATAATTCTCTCAAAGATTTTTACTTTGCTGCAATGGGGTTTTGGGGTTTTGGGGTTTTGGGG